AGTGCCCATTTGGGGGAAAACAGGAAATCTTGTAAGGCTTGATGAGGTGTTTGCTTCCTTTCTTCTTGCCCAGCAATGGGTTCCTTCCACCCAGTAGGTTTCTGTCGTGGTCCCCGTGGGAGAGGCCAGACTAGACTATTCCTCCTTTGCTGACACGGGGTCACAGTTCCCCAGCCAGGGCTTTTGACAGAGACAGCAAATAGGCCTCTGCAAATTGATCAAAGGCTGCAACCCTAAGGCCTCTTGGAGACAGATGACTGGCAAGGACTAGACAGCAGTTGTGCCTGGTCAGGTCAGCCACAGTTCCTGACTCTCCATCACTCTGTCCAAGGAGAACCCACAGAAGCTTTAGGCTGATTCAGAGGTTCCTTCTTTATGTTTGTCCAAACTGTGTTAGTCTAGTCTTAGGGCAGCTTCAGAATCTGACACCTTGCCATGCTCTTGCCACCAGGACACCTAAGTCAACAGGCCAAACAGCCACACATCTAAAGGTCACCATCTTCCACCACCTTTACTGGGTTCTAAATGCTCTCTGATAATTCGGAGTCTGGGTCCTGGAAGAGGTAAGAGGAACACTAGAAGCTCAGCATGTTTTTTAAACAGGTTGTACCAAAGAGAGTTTAGTGGCAAACCATGGTTTCCCCAAGCTGCAGAGAAGGCCAGAAACCATGAATATGACTGGAAGCCTACTGTCACATGAGTGGGGAGAGAAGCAGCAATGCTGATGAAGGAGGTACAGAAAATTCTTTGCATCGTAAGACAAAATATGGGTTTAATCTAGTCTAGACACCAGTTTTTCTTCCCTCTTGATAACAAAGTTTATTTAAATCACTTCTTGAGCTTTATCTTTTTTGACAAAATACTGGAGAAACTCTGAAGAACAAGTTCAAACTGATACATATACACCTGTTTTTTGGATAATGTAAATGCCCTGGCCACATGTTAATCCACCCTGCATTGCTTTAAGTGAACCTACTTTGAAAAAACATGTTAGCTGAGTGATGGCCGAGTTTTTTCTCTGAACAGGAATGTAAATGTCTTACTAGAAATGAAAAGTTTTTGATTTTTTTTAAACAAAAAATGAAATATAACAAGACAAGCTTATGACAAAATATTTGTCTTGTAAATCAGGTTGTTTTTTTTTTTTTAAATTTTAAAACTCCACCCTGCTCCCTCCCCAGCAAAGTCGCAGCCCCATTATAGTAAAGGTTGGAGTCAATATGCTCTGGTTGGCAGGCAACCCTCTAGTCATGAGGGATTTCAAGTTCTAGTCCAGTCTTTTTCTACAGACAAGAGAATGTGAAGCCCACAAAGATAAAGTGACTTGCTCAAAGTCCATGGTTTGGGACAGAAACAAGATTAAAACCTGGACTGCAGACCAGTGCTGTGTGCCTCAGAAGGAATAATCCGTAAATTATGAATTGCTACTTGAAAGCGCCAGAATGACACAAAGGACAGAATTCCTTTCCCGATTCTTACCCTAGCAAGGCTAGGGAGGGCACGAACACAAAAACAGAAACTGGTCTCCTATATTTTCTCTGAATCTTCTTTTAGGTTTAAGATCTAAGTGAACAATTCTTTCTGCCAAGAAATTTAAGTTTTAGATGAGCTTTTATGCATGTAACTTATTCCAACAGGATGGAGGGACCAAGGAAACAAGATGGGGGAGGCAGAGAGGGCAAGAGTAAAACAGTAGCATAGCTTTTGTCATTATCACTAGCTGATCCCTCAGGTCTACTGCAAACACACACAGCACGGAGGCGGGGAGCAGATGACTATCTGTGTGGGGCTTTTTGTTCGCAATGAATGTTAAACAGTTTGCCCAGGAACTGGGGGATCATATATGTGTCTTAGTGGACAGAGGTCTGAAGTACACTGGAATTTACTGAGAAACTTGTTTGTAAAAACTATAGTTAATTATTGCATTTTCTTACAAAAATATATTTTGGAAAATTGTATACTGTCAATTAAAGTGTTTTTGTGTAAACTGGTTCGAGCTCTGGTATTTTGCTCTGGCTTAACATCTTCACTTAAGTAAGAGGCTCATTGCGAAAGCACCTGAGGATGTCAGGTCACACCCATGAGCACAGGAGCCTCTGCTGACTTACACTTGTCCAACGCTGCAGGCACAGAAATTAGGAGAGAGGAGGGAAGCTGAAAGAAAAAAAAGGAGAGGGGGGTCCTAAAGGTGGTGATGTCTTTTTACGTTATTCAAGCTGTCCTAGTGACTGTAAAGGACCTCACTTTCTCCTAAGATGTTGTTTTATAGATGTTTTACTGTCTTCCTTCCCTCTCCTACTTCTGCCTCAGATACACTGTGGATCACCACTACCAGAAATCCCCAAGGGGCTGCTGAACACTGATCAGGTATGAAAATACTGGCAGAGAGAAAACAAAAATATGAAAACAAAGAAGCTCTGTTCTGGCCCTGTTTCTGCCCATAAAAAGATCGGTTTACTGCCACAAGAGGCTTCTGCCTATCCCTCCCCCAAGTCTGCAATGAAGATGATAGAGGTTTAGGGATGGAATCACTGGAGAGGATTCTTCATCTCCTGTGTGGTACTATCCGCAGCTGTATGCTTCCTCACTGCAAGAGGAAAACGTCATCATTTCCAACCTGCAGAGGGGAAACTGTCAGGTAGAACTGGTCCATAATCTTAGTTGCTAGACAACAATCTTGTGTGTCTGCCTAGCATCTTACTATTTACAAATAGCCTATCATAGGCCACATGACCCTACTCCTTGCCTGCCAACCAAGACACACACTCAGTTGTCAATTTCAATGTGTTACGCTTTGTCACTCAACCTCCCTTATGAGCTCCATCCCAAATCACAGATTTCTTGTGTATCACAAAATAAAAAAGTAAAGAATAGGACTGGCTACATAATTAACACTAATGATGAACACTGAGATAGCTTTCAAAGACTTTGGTAGGGTCATGCCTTTAATCCCAGCACTTTAGGAGGTCGAGGTGAGAGGAACAGCTGGAGCTCAGGAATTTGAGACCAGCCTGGATAACATAGCCAGATCCCATCTTTACAAATTTCTTTTCTTTTTTTTTTAAAATTAGCCAGTTGTGCTGGCATATACCTGTAGTCCTGCTGAGGCAGGATCACTTGAGCCCAGGAGTTGGAGGCTGCAGGAAGCTATGATTGTACCACTACGTTCCAGCCTGCACGACAGTGAGACCCTGTCTCAAAAAAATAATAGGACCCTAGGAAATAAGATCTGCTGCCAATATTTACTGAACAGAAGAAATGAGACAGAGAAGTTGTGACTGCACAATGCTTTGCAGAAGTCACCAGTAATCAGGAAATAAAAGCCAGGACTCCTGATTCCTCTGGGGCTCTCCATTCTATGGCCCAAGTTTAGAGGGCAGCTGTACAATGTGTGCTATGTACATTGCCAAGGGTCCTAACGTCCTCTTGGGGTTTGCCAACCATCAAAACTTAGGAACGTAGTGCTAGGCAGGCTACTTCTACATAGTTTCTATCTCCTTCCCTGTAATAAGAATGTCTCTGGCAAGGATATAGCCAACTGCTGCTACTTTTCCTGGGTGAAAGCCCACAGGAAAAAAGGCCCCTGTAAGACAGTAATGAAGCTGTCCTCTGCTGTCCCAACTGCCCTATGCTCCAGAAAGCCCCAAGTCTGCAGTCCCCTCTTCCTTTTCTCTTTCCCAGACATGTAAAAGGCAAAGGAAGATGTAGTATAACGTGGTGCTAAAGTAAAGAAGAATCGTGATCAACTAGGATTGAAACTTAGCCAGGACTGCACAAACCTCAGATGGTCTTTCCAATCACATTACTACCTTCAGAATCTCAATGGTTAGTGATAAACAAATGCTGCCTTGATTTATATTTCCTCCCAATTTCTATGAACTCTGCAGTCGTTATTTATATGAGAAGTTATGGGAACATGGGCACACACAGCCATTTCCCCATTAGAATGCTCAGTTATCTTCCTTACACAGTAGAAAAGCCCCTAACGTAGCACCTTCCCGTCTCTGTAGTAGTCTCTACATGCACTTGGCCCGGATACAGCCGGCTCTCATCTGTGTTTAGGGCCAAGGCTTCTTTACTTACTGCTGTCGGTAGTGACAAATATATCAAGGGTGGTATCCTGGATTTTGATCCCTTTGAGTTAATTCTCTGGAGGACTGAACAAGGAAAGGTCAATTCCTTACCTCACCAGTGCACCTCATGCTTTCCTGTTTTGAGAACACAAAGAAATGTTACTCAGAGCCACACGCAAAGGATACCCTAGAAATGAAAGCTCTGCAGTAAGGTTTGGATTATTGAATTTGTAAACAGAAAACATGATCCCCATTTTGAATAAAATCAGCTGACAATTCACTCCAGAATGCAGGATCACAAAGCCAAGAAGATGTAAAGCAGACCAGGAGGTGGAAAGGGCGGAGGGGATTTCGTTACAAAGAGTCCCACCACTCGGCCCCAGAGATCCAGTACTTGATCTGGCATATTTCTCAGCTTATTTTTTTTTTAAGGTTTGGCCCATAAAGTGTCTTTCCCCTTCACTGGGGACAGGGATCCAGAATTTCTCCAACTTCACAACACTTCTAGGTTCTCTTGCTTTGCTATCTTTTCTTAATGAATTTTCCATTTCAGTTCAGTCTTCTAGTTTCTAGCCTGTACAAGCACATCCCCATTAAAGAGGAACACAAGCCCAAATGGACAAAGCAAATAAAATAAGGCTGGTCATTAAAAGTAGGTAGAAAAACACTGCTTCATGAAATAATTTACCAGTGGTCTTTAAAAGTGGAAGCCTCCCTGTAGAAACTTGATGAGCATAGCCAGTACTTCTTTATGTGAGCATTGTCTCAAAGGAAAACACCCGACGGCCTTCTAAAGTGTATCACGTTCTGTTTTTGGAAGTCTAAATAAAACTCATCTTTCTGAGGGAAAAAACACAACTGCAAAGTATATAAACATTTCAAAAGTTCACTTCAAAAGCAGTTTGAGCAAATATAAGAGACATCTTGTAGCATCCATATATAACTTTTTATTAAGAAAATGAAAATACATTCTTTCTCCATATGTACATTACATACAACATAATTCTACAATTGCAATCATTCAGCAGATCACTCATTTATTTATTCACAAAGTAGAGTTAACACATTTACCAAAGCTGGGATCTGAAAATTATTTGCACTAAAAAAAAATACTAAGAAATCCATAGAGATTAGATAAAAGATAAACCGGAGAGGATCATGAGGGGTACGGGGAAGATCACAGAACATTACAGAGCCCAACAATGATTTGAAACAACTGATGTCAGAAGAGATCTGATACCCATAAAGCACTTGTTTAAAAGCTCCCACCAGCTCATGCCAGCTTTCTAGAGTCCCATGATTTCTATTTAAGACAATGTGGATACTTTAGGAAACAATCCTGACCTCACATTGCCACAGAAGAGGGTGTGAAAAACCAGAACAAAACAAGTCTGCAGTTTTCTCCTCCACACAGAGTCTCATCTGAAATACTGAGGTGCAACATGTGTGAATCTCAGCTAATGTGTAGAGAAATACAATTTTTTGAGAGACATTTGCTTAAATGTGGTAAAGAACTCTTGTTTTATGGACTCCTCGCTTCATATTCATTGTGTCTGTTTTTCTTTTGGCTTCTGACAAGTAGCTCATCCTTTTTGGATGTCAGTTTAATTATGGCCATATTAAAAAGTTCATCATAAAGACTCCTCCTCATAATATGAATATGCTCCATATGCCCATAATGGTACATAAAGGACTTAGGAATTCAAATGAGTCTTAGGGATGAAACTTCCAATGACCTGAGCAACGCAGCTCCCTAAAGCTTCTGGATAACCTCTTACACCCATAGTTCAGGCTTAAAGAGACATATCAACACAATTATTTTCAGATTGTCTGTCTAGAAAAGGGCAATGCTCAAAAGAATATAAATACGGGTGGGAACATATGCTTCCAGCCTGGTCCTTTCTCCATGTGGTTTTTAAAAAAAAAAAAAAAAAAAAAAGGAATTTTTTTTTTTTTTAATCTTTTCTGGCCTTTACTATGTTTGGTAATGGAAATAAGTCAGAGCAAATAAAATGAAGAGGTCTTATCACTTAATACTGGTTTTCCTTCTAAATTAAGTATAAGTTAGTAATTTCCTAAGTTTATAATGATAAACCTATTTTGATAATCACTAACATCAATACATTTTATCGTTAAGTCCCATAAGAGCTATTTAACATTCTCCAATTTTCAGCTAAGCTGGTTGCTACCACACCACATTTCCAGTCCAGGAGATGTTTTCAAAAGGAGAAGGAGCGACTCACACAGCATTAATAAGCAGACTTGGAAAGACAGATTTTATTGGCTATGGATGAAGTTGTATCTTTCTCAATCTAATTTTCAGTCCAACTTGGGTTTTGAGGATCTATCTCTATCAGAAGGGATCTTATTTCTGACTACTATTTCCAATTTATAAAAGAGCTGACTTTAAAAAATTTCTAACATCTTTCCCAAACTGTTTACAAATACATCATTTTTGAAAGATGGAATACTGTTTGTTCCCAAGACCAACACAAGAAAAGGAGGGCCTCATCGTTGCTTTCCTATATTCTTCCTCTGAGGCTAATGACTGAACTGTACATAGCTTTTGGAGTGGGAGCAAGGCAAGAAATCTCTTTAAAAAGAAAATTTTTTAAAATGTATATGTATATTTATAAAATATTTATGGATAAAGAATACTGTTTACAGAAAAGTTACATTATTGTGCAACTCTAAATTATGCAGAAGACTATACACAATAGATAATTAATACTATACTATCTAATTTCTTTTCAAAAGACATTTCACACAAATCCAAAACGTAAGCTGGCTTAAAGAATAAGACAATCATAACATCTCTTGCCCAGGCTAACTGTAATGCTTAGGAAAGAAAGTCCACTTTGATTTTTCTAAATGGATGGTTTGTTAGTAAGGAAGCAAAGTGTTTACAATTGATTAGTCACCAAAATCATTTTTCTGGGAAAGGAAAAAAAAAAACCCCAAGAAAATCAGTACATGACATTTTAATAAATTTATCTTCCCCCATGGAAGACAACTCATAAGTAACCTTTCAGACTTTGTTATCTTATTATTAAATTTGGGAGTGAGTTGATAACTACTTGGTATTATTTCTCTTATAACTTGGCATTCAAGACAACACACTATATAGCTGTCACTTGCAAACACCTGATGGTATGGCCCTCATGGTGTAAGATTTTCTCATTTGTTGCTCTGCCAGCTGCAATGGGATTGGGACTTATTCTATATACCTCCTCTAATTTAATCACTTTATAGACGTGGAAGAGACCTAAAGAAAAAACCAAAAGTATGAAATACTTCTAATGCCAAACCCAGATGTCATTATTTCTTGGCAAAGCAGAATTAACAGAGATGATATATAATTAATTTAAGGCAAGAAAACTAATCATTTCAATTCTGTATGTGTTACAAGTTGTACATGAAATGACAATTTCCTCCTATGTTAAAGGGCTAGAAAATAAAACCAACCAAATGACATGAGCTAAACTGTAACAAAGGCTTTCTTGAGATTTGTTAACAAAGGAGAAATAAAGCTCAAAATTAGCTTTTTGAGTGACTCCTTAATCATGCACACAGGCTTGTTCAGTATATCACACAGAGTGTTTCTTCTTCCTGCCAATTAATTTGGCATTCATTAAGTAATGAATGAAACTGAAGAATGATGATCTCCTCAGGCTGGTATGTGTGTGGCAGACAGCTCAGATATCTGAGCTAACTGCTGTGATTGCTAGCATCCCAGATGGTACAGAGCCATGTTGCAGCAAGAGCTTAAACTCAGTGAATAAGCAACGGAACCCCCAAATTGCATGCTGAAATGTTTTATTGCTGGTTTTCCTGCTGGATCCTTATCAAGAAAACTGGTTGTATGTAAGAAACTGCTCACCTAGCTGAAGATCTAGAGCCCATTAACACTGGATTTTCTGTTTTAAGGTCTCAAACAGTCATTTGGGAGAAGGTAAGAAAGGTAATTAACCAAGAAACGCTATTTCCCAAAGACTATTCAGAATTACTGATTATTCTAAAAGCATGAGCTTTGAGCTCTTTTGATAGTCTTCTTCCCAGCACCTCATTAACAAAATTATTTTAGGGTTAGAAACAAAGGATTTTCTTTTTCCTTTCAATTTGTGAACCTCTAAAATCCATGAGCAAAAGCTCCTATTTTTCCTTCTCTAACATACTCTCATTCTCTTCTCTAGCTCGTTCCTGAAGTTTAATACTTCCAAGTCAAAATGTCTCAGATAAGCAAAACAGGACACTGCACACAAATGTTTAATAGTTCACTGAGACTGTTTGAAAAGCAGATAAAAAGGAAGACATTATTTTATAATTACAAGTGATATCTTAGAACTGGTCCAATTCCCTACCAAAAACATTTCCCCTTTTTTGTTGTTGACTCTACAGCTTTCAGTTAACAACCATGTTAAACTTTTCTGTTTTCCAGCAAGCTCAGCAGTGTCTGGGGACAAACAGCATATTGCAAATCTTATTTCCAAATAATGACTCTGATTAAGAAGATAAACTAGAACTACCCTTTCATTTTGTGTCTTTAAGCTGTGAAGCAGGATCCAGTTCACAATCTAAAACTTTAGCGAAAATGGCAGACAGTTGATCATTTCCCATAATGGCATTTCTCTCTGCACTATTAGATAATCTAATTTACTCTAACCTCTAATGACTCCTTAGGTTAAGGGCTACTGAAGCTACTGTCGATGGTTTCACTGGCTATGACTGGCATAAGAGTTAGTCATTTGGAATTGGAGCTAAATTCTTTTTTTTTTTTGAGACAGGGTCTTGCTCTGTTCTGTTGCCCAGTCTAGATGCAGCATTGCAATCATAGCTCACTGCAGCCTCAAACTCCTGGGTTCAAGTGATCCTCCCACCTCAGCCTCCCAAGTAGCTGGGACTACTGGCATGTACCACCACACCTGGCTAAAAAAAAAATTTTTTTTTTAAAGTAAAGATGAGGTCTTGCTGTGTTGCCCAGCTGATCTCAAATTCCTGGGCTCAAGAAATCCTCCTGTGTCAGCGTCCCAAAGGTCTGGGATTACAGGCATGAGTCACTACGCCCAGCCTAAATTCACATTCTTGAGGAAAAGAGACATTTATAAGGCTGTATTATTTTTATTTAAGAAAAAAATAAAAAGAAAAGCAATCATTTCATGGCAACTGAAGCCATTTCTAATATTCAATTATATCAGAAATTTAAAGTCAATTCTTAATAAAAATTCCAACTTCAGCTGAAAAATCAATGCTACTCATGGAAGGTAGGAACAGAAACAAAAAGGCTAAAAAATACAATAAAAAAAGACAAAAGGTAAATGGAAATCCCGATGATATGCTGAATTCAGGAGCTCTGCTATCAAACTTGTACTTTACCAAGAGTTCTATGACAAGAGTTCCTAATGCCATGAGAAGAGGCCAACACAGGTTTCTCCATTACAGTTGCCACACTCATTAGTACTATCCGCAAATAAAAACGACTCAAGTATTTTACAGCAGTATCTGAATGTTATTAATTCCTTAATATACAATTTAAAATTTCATTTTTCTCTTGTCATAAATAAGGATAACAGAGCATTTTGCCTAAGAATGATTTTGATCTTTTTTTTCTTCCCAAGCAATACAATGCTCCTACAGAATGCCACAGAAAATCTAGGGCTAAAAAAAGTCAAGAATAAAGTTACATTTGCTAAGAAAAATAAATGGAAAAACAATTCACAGTATCTGGTGGATAGAAGGAAATCAATGTTTTAAAAATCATGTATAAGCAGAACCTCTAAGACAGCATTTATTGAGAAAAAGAAAAATCATTTGGTGAAGAAATCAATATACTGCAGCAATGAGTCTTCGCCTAAAACAAATGAGGGCCACATCATTCATGTGAGATAGTCAGCTTCATATTATTTCAACAAACTTGGAAACTTCTACCTTCAACCAACAGACCTCTAGACTAGAAGTTTTGGATAGCCAAGTCATTTCAGCATTAAAACAAATCACAGGGAGGTAGAAGCCAGGGTCCAGAACCACAAAATAGTAGTGTTCTTTGGCCAATAAGGATAGCAAAAATCTTTGTGTTAAAACATCCAAAAATTTAATCTGTAAGTACTGTCATATGCAGACCCTCTATGACACTCCTCCAGCCATAAACTTTTTCTGGGGGAGCCTTCAAATCCCAGATCCGGGTCTATTTTAGGAATTCAAAACTTGGTGAGAATTTAGGCAATAATTTCTGCAAAGGGATGAGATTGTGGATGAATGTGGATTTTTAAAAGAAGGATTTGGAAGAGTATCTCTCTCTCTCTTTTTTTTTTTTTTTAAAACAGTTAGATGACTTTATTTAGAGTATACATTGTAGTGATTCCCTCCCACAGAAATCACTTCAAACTGTAATTCTCAAGTACTGTGCAACATTCAACCAGCTAAGGATTTCACATAACTTTCAGGAAATAAATGACCCACAATTACCCAGGGAATTCCATGTAGTGTTAAGAATAATTATAGGTAACTTCTTCATGTAATTACCATGAAATTGAGTATAATTTAGAGAATAAAATCAGAAACATACTCCTAAGTGCTTTTTTGATCCATTAACCATCATTCTCAATCTCTCATTAAATGACTGGGTGCCTCAAACTAGTTTTTGTTTATAGGTTAGATTTTAAAACACTGTTTTATTATAACTCTGTTAATGTATCTCTACATAGCATTTTTTTTTTTTTTTTTAGTAGAGATGGGATTTCTCCATGTTGGTCAGGCTGGTCACAAACTCCTGACCTCAGATCATCTGTCTGCTTCCAACTCCCAAAGGGCTGGGATTAGAGGCGTGAGCTACTAAGCCCAGCCTACATCGCATTTTTTTTTTTTTTTTTGAGACGGAGTTTCGCTCTTGTTACCCAGGCTGGAGTGCAATGGCGCAATCTCGGCTCACCGCAACCTCCGCCCCCTGGGTTCAGGCAATTCTCCTGCCTCAGCCTCCTGAGTAGCTGGGATTACAGGCACGCGCCACCATGCCCAGCTAATTTTTTGTAATTTTTAGTAGAGACGGGGTTTCACCATGTTGACCAGGATGGTCTCGATCTCTTGACCTCGTGATCCACCCGCCTCGGCCTCCCAAAGTGCTGGGATTACAGGCTTGAGCCACCGCGCCCGGCCTACATCACATTTTTAAGGCAGATGTGAAGAGATAAACTGTAATGGTAAGCTCCCAACCATTTATACACAATATACATATTTTGCCAGAGAATGCAGTTTTACAAGCTTAAATCACTGAGCTCTAAACCCAACAAAGCTTTCTATGATAAACCAGTGACTTTATAATGTCTTCTATCAGTTTTTACTTATTAGACATGGACAGGTCAGTTTTTGTATAAATGAAAGACAGGTATAAAAGATGGCCTTGATAAAAGTTAATACTGTCTGTCAGCTTCAGCGCAGAGGTAGGCATTCAAGTTTGAATTTACTTGAATGAATTCCTTTGCTTGAATAAGAGTGATAAATTCTTGAATCAATCAAACTGGTCACATGAGGTCTCTGCTATTACCAAAATAAAATGCAATGCACTTAAGAAGTGTCTTGAAAATCAGGTCATTTCTCATGAAGTACAAGCACTGAAAATAATGCTAGATATGTAGTTTAATTTCTGGTTGAAAAGAATGTATTATACTAGGAAGTATGAGGTTGAAGCTGGAGATAATACAAATGAACAAATTGTATCCCACTTAATTCATGTGTCTAAAGCATTAGCTAGGTGTTTCAGTTAGGGATTTGCCTAAGCTAGAATGAAATAATTGTTAGGTAGTAAAGCATATACACTTGGCTATATAAACAGTGTACCTAAATACCAAATTCAATTATTTAAATTATAAGATATGCTGGAATTCTTGGAAATACATCTGGCTCCTCACTAAATTGTGACACGTTGTGAGCAACATGTCAGTCTTGGTCAGGGATATATGAAGCACTATATTCTCTGCAATCACTTCCAGCAGTGCTCCCATTAAAGCCCCACAGTACAGAGTCTGACTTTCCAATTATCTCCTCTCACTTTGGCAAGAGAAAATGGCTTGCTATGATTCAACCCCATTTAAGCATGGTGGTGAGCAAAAAATTCCAGAAATGAAGAGGGAAAAATTGAACCTAAATAAAGTGAGGAAAGATGAAATTAAAACAAACATGTTTTCCAAAAAACTAGTAGGGAAGCAATTAGGGAAAAAAAAAAATAAAATTATTGAGGTCAAGAACTTCATTTCCTCCAAACAACATCTGAGGAACTGATGAAAAAAATTACAAAGAAGCACTGTAAAAATAAATGGTGGAGGGCAAGGACTTTCACTTGCTTAATCATACTAAGCAAAACTAGAGCTTTTAAATTTAGGAAGTCTTAGCAAATTCAAGTTCTTCCTTGTCAATATTCTGACTTGTACCTGTCTCCACAAAAAATTCAACAGGCTATGCTAGTGATATTACTATTTTATGTTCTTATGTCACTCAGGGGAATTGTTTTATGAAACCATAAAAGTATGTAAGTAAACCGTATTTACATGACTGGACAGTCACTTGGTTATTCAGCAGCTACACAAGTTGGTAGGTGCTGAATTACGTAGCATACCTTTCACAAGTAAAGGTACAGATCAAATTGCTTAAGAAATCACTGTTGACTGCTTTGGGATGCCAAGAAAGCCACGGAACTCATAACTCAAGCCTAGAACTAGCAAAAATATATTTCTATTCATCCCCCAAAGCAGCAAAACCATGTATTAAAGACAAAATAAAGTGGGATCTCAATGTTTCTTTCCTATACATGACACTTTCTGATAGTGCAGGTTAATTTCTTCTTTCTTTGGTGAAGCCTAATCTTGCTACTCAGGGACATACTTGATTCCATAAAGTTGTTCACTCTTATGAGCCACTGGATCAACTGACACTTCTTATTACAAGTCTGCTTTAGCACGGTGGGGATCAGCTTCATACAACACGCTTTTCGAGCAAATGTAAGCACTAGCCAGATGTAGGTTCCCCACGCTGCATTCCACAGCACCTCATCAGAAGATATGTACCTCTATCTCTCACAGAAAAACTGACTCAGGGAAAAGTCCATCTGCCATACCGTTCTTTATAATTAAAAAATATTTGAACTATTCACAAAGTCTGGTCTATATGCTTAGTGAAATGCCTGTCCGTTGTATGCCACTGAACAACCACAAATAATTTCTCTTAAAAATATCAATATCCACAAGCAGACAGAGAGAGACAATGTGTATAAAAATAAATAAAAGCAGAGCTCTGGAAACAGCCTCCTCTCTCAAATGAAAACACTACAAAGAGATAGCACAAAGAGAAACGGGAGCCCTGGTTCTGCAGAGATCTTCTGGATGAAAGAGTAATTTTCTCCTAAAATTGCTATGAAGATATCAATGAACATATTCACTACCAGATCCTTCCTGCTCATCATTTTTAGAATGGCTCTTAAAGGTTCTGAACTATAGTCTCCTCGGTTTAAGGTTTCTGTGACTCAAAGTCAGATGCTATTGAAATATCTACTATAAAATATCATTATAGAAATATTATATACCAATCTCAGATAGGTGCTTGGGTCAATCTCAGGTTTCATTTTTAGTACTATGGCCAAGAGTGCAAACTTGAGCCCTCAATTCTGCCTACTGTTTAACATAACACAATACAAGTCAGCACAGACACAGATATCACCTTAACATACATCACCTGTCCTAGAGAACTATACACTTGTTAAGAATAAAGTAAAGAGGTAAACAAGTGACACCACTTATACGCAGTTGTGTGACGGGAGGTGAAGTGAAGTGGGAAGGGATGAGAAGGCAGGCCAAATGACCAACAGCAACAACATTCAAAATACTTGTAGTGCTGAATCTGTTAATAGTGCTTATTTCCCCAACTAAAAAAAAAAAGGAAAGAAAATTCTGAAAAGGGTAAACTGCCTAATTTTCCTTTTATACTCATTAATTCTTAAAAGATAACATAAGAAAAAATATATATATTTAACTGGAAAGTATACCAATTTCACTTTATTAGCCTAATTTAGGAACAGGATGAAGAGAGTGGGGTTGAGGTCAGGTATGAAGGAAAAGGGTAAAAACCTGTGATGGTTAAGATCCCTTCAGAACTCTGGTGCAGTCCTCAATCACTGCAGCTTTATTGTCAGTCAATGGAGCTGCAATCCAAAAGACGGAAATTCGACTCCTGTTTTTCCATTTCTGTGTCCAGTGACTCTTCAGTTACAGTGTAATGAGGTCTACCAGGTTGCCTTTAGGAGGAGTCATGCTGTCAGGAAAGAAATTTACTAAGGTGTCAAAGAGCTGAGTTCTTTGAGCATAGGTGTGATCCACATCAGAAAAGCCTGGTGAAGAAGATACAAAGAAACATCCATTGTGTTTAAAACATGTAACAGAAAAACTAGTTGAGACTAGCAGTAATGTACTTTATAATGGATAAAGCAAATCAGGCTTCAAAACCAGACAGAAACTACTGATCTGACCCCAGTTCTACTACTTGGCTATGGTATGATCTTAGGGTAAATTCGTCAGACTTTCTGGCTTTCAGACTTTGTTTCCTCAGCTGTACATATGTGATAATAGTATTTACTTCATATAGTTATTGTGCAGATTAAATGCAATTACATGAAAAACAACTAGCAGAAGGACTGGCACTTCAGTCACTAAATGATATTGATTTCTCTTCTCTTCCTTACAAGGTTGTTCCTCTGCAAGTCCACTGAGAAAATTCCACTTGTCTTTTCTACTTGTTAATGCTTCTGAACCACTAAATTTTTTTTTGGTAATAAAAATATAATAAAATCAAAATGAAAGGGATCTCTAGAAATTAGTCTAAAATCATTAATGTCTCAGAGACAGCTGGAAGTAGTCTCCGAGAACTGAGTGATAACAGAGATGACTGAGGGAAAGAGATACATGTACAATATGTAAAATGGTACCTGCACATAATAAACACCATACCTCTTACTAGGCACACATTATGTGAGGATAGGGCAATGAACTACTTTTATCCTAGTAAATATTAGAAAACATATGTATGGCATTTTTAAAAGGTAGGGACTGTTAATCTAAAGGATTTTCCCCTGTAACCTCTAAAAAACATTCAATTAAGTTTACTCCAGCTAAAGGAACATTCAGTGAGATGCTGTCTTCATCAGTTGGTATATTTATCTCAGCTGCTTCAGATTTCTTAAATACAACGGAGATATTTAAGTGATAAAATAAATGATTTCCCCTATTCCTGAAATGGCGGAGGCATGAGAGCCCTGCTGAGTGCTGTGAGAAATAGAAACAAAGCCATAAAGAGTTACACATGCCATGGTGTTCAGTGAAGGCGACTTCAAACCAGACTTATTTCCATTCAACTTAGAATACAATTTTAGGTCCAATCTGTTTTAATCTTGTAAAAGAACAGGAATAGACCATAACATTGCCAAGGATACCAGTTTCCTGGAAGGAACATAAACAATACCTCAAGAACAGCACATTCCTTTTTATTTTAAAAAATATATTGTTTTAAGTTTGAGGGTAAATGTTTATTTGAGATGAGCTTGAGTTTAACAAAGCCCACTATGCTATCATGGAAGTGAATGGAAAGAAATACTCCAAAATATTAACAAAGGTTATCTCTGACAGTGAGATTAGAGTCTTTTCTATTTTATGCTTTAAAAAAAAATTTCCAAATTGCTTCATTTTTCAACTTTTTATTTTGAAAAATTTCAAACCCAAAGAAAGGTTTCAAGAATCGTGCAATGAACACCCCATACTGCCTTCACTTAGGTTCACCATTAGTTTCACCAAATATGTTCTCGTTCTCTCGTTCTCTCTCTCTCTCTCTCTCTCTCTCTCTCTCGTGTGTACACCCCACTGAAAATCTTTTTGTGGAACTATCTGGGAGTAAGTTGTAGACACCTTTGGCCCCTACATGCTCAAACTGATTTCAGCTAAGAACAAGAACATTCACTTACATAACTAATATATATTAAATTCATGAAATTTAACACCAATGTCCCAATAGTACCATTTTTCAGTCACTTTTTTACAGTCATGTTTCCTACTAATCTAAAATCCAATCTAAGATCACACAATGCATTTTTCCAAGTCTCTTGAGTCTGAAATGGTTCCTCAGCCTCTGTCTTTTATGACACTGATATTTTTGGAGACTACAGAACATTTATGAATAGAATGTGTTAAATTTGGGTTGCCTGTTTCTTGATCATCAGATTCAGTTTATGCAGTTTTGGCAAGAATACTATACACGTGATACTGTGTGTCCTCAGTGTATCATCTCAGAAGGCATGGGGTATCAGTTTATCCCAATACTGATGATATTAACTTTGATCGTCTGGTTAAGTTGGTATATGCCAAATTTCTCCAAGGTAAAGGTGTTCTTTTCTACCTTTTTAATTAATAAACTATATCCTCTTCTCCAACAGCCCTGTACCCAATAATTTAGCAGTCACTGATGATTCTTGCTAAAACAATTATTAGTTATATGATGGTGATTTTCTAACTCTACAATTCCTTCTACAGTTGTTGACAGTCTATTGTAAAGAAGAGCTTTTTCCGCTCCTCCCATTCTACTTATTTGTTCACATTATTAGGTACTCAGGGATTCTTTTCTTGTTCAGTATGTTATATTCATTACTGTCACAATTCATTCTGACACTCATACTGTCCCACATTTGACCACTGAGAGCCTTTTTGAGCTGGTTTCTGTGTCTTTTTCAAGTGTACCCATTAATTTTGGGGTACCTCCTTACTTTCTGGTATATATCCAAATTAATCTTTACACAGCTCTGGAGTCCTAATTCCTTTCAGCTGTGAATGTTATTTAAAAACCAAGAACAGCTGTGCTAATTGTCAAGGTGTCACTGTTTCTAGGCCTATGCATATAGCCTATTATATGCATACATGTTTTTTAGATTATATTTCATGCTTTTACTGTTAACTCTAATTTCTTAAAACCTCAGAGGATTCTTCCTCCTCATATCCCATTCCATATCTCCTTTCTTCCACCAAGAAAACCCTGACTCCCAGCAATATCAGAATATTTACTCATTTGCTCAACTTAAAATATATACAAGTTCTAGATTTGCTACGTATGTACTACTACCAAGAAAAACTCAAGATTTCTTTGCTTTTATTGTTTTTAGAATATACCTCACTGAAAGTATAGTCTAAAGCACTGCAATAAAATGGTTTAGTCTTCTTTTATGTTCTGAATTTGTAAAAATACAATCGTGTTACATTTTTAAAAGAAGATATTGACTCTGTAATGCTACTGTAATGAAGTAATGCCATCTTCTGGAGATCAAATTACTTAAGAGGGAAGAAAACACTCAGTTCCTATGTGCTCCGTACTTTAGGTATGATTACATTTCCTTGTCACAGAAACAATGAAGTAGTATAATCTCCACTTTCAGATGAGACAACTTACATTCAATAATCTTAAAGTTATTACTATTTTTGTTATTCATCTACCTCTTTTACACAGAAAGATTCAATAATTCAATAAAGTCTCACAGCTAGGGAGGGAAGAGATGGAATGTGAAACTGTGTCTGTCTGACTCCAAAGCCCTTTATTTATTTCTATTAACTCATAGTCATTAAGTTCTTAACTTGTAGGGCAATGCACTAAGCTCATTTAACTCTCAAAGGCACATCTTTTATTTTTATTTACTATTTACCTATGAGGATATTTAAATTTACACTATCATTAGATGAATGAATAAATTATGGCAGATTCCTATCATGAATAATTATGTATCACTCTGTAAGAATAAAACTGATGTAGTGTAGCTTCGTAAAAATGTCTACAAGCCACATCATTTACTTTAAAAAATTATGCTGCAGAATATGTTTTTATATTATATAATAAATTAATAAAGCACATACAAACCTCTATATTTATATGGGGTTGTCTGTGCATATTATATACAGTTGATCTTGATCATTTACAGATTCCATATTTGTGAATTTGCCTGTTTGCTAAAACTCATTTGTAACCCCCAAACCAATAATTGTGTTATTTCTGTGGTCATTGCACACATGTGCAAAGTGGCAAAATATTTGCACAAGTCCCCAGCTGGCCACCATATGCACAAGTCCCCAGCTGAGGCTGAACTTTGTGATCTCTGCTGCTTCTTGTTTCAGCTCTTACTATCCACAACAGTCCTTTCGCCATCTGTTTGGCACAACATTTGCCACATTTTTGTGTTTTTGGTGGCTTCACTGTTTAAAATGGCCCCCAAATGTAATGCCAAAGTGCTGTCTAGCATTCTTATGTGCAAAAAAGGCCTTATTCAGAAAATAGGCACATTAGATAAGCTTGGTTCAGGTATGAGTTAGAGTGATGTTGACCATGAGCTTAATGTCAGTGAATCAACAATATATATTAAATGAGGAATCTTTAAACAAAAACACACATAACATGTGGTTACAAATTGATCAGTGGATAATATGTGACCAGAGGCTTGTAGGAACCTAACTCTGTACTCTACTTTGAATAATGAGAATCAACTGCGAGTGTGTGTGTGTGTGTGTGTGTGTGTAAAGATGTATCACATACGAGGGATTATACTTGAGGGTAAAAGAGACTGAGGAAAGTTGTTTAGGGAGAATCTTAAGCTTTATATGTAATCAATGTTTTTTGTTTTTTTTTTTCCTAAAAATAAATCAAAAAGGGGTGGGGATCTAGGAAACTCATCAACAGTAACAAAACTACTTAAATGGCACTGCCAGGGCAAAAAGGTGACATTGATTCTAAACCTCATGAATGGTCCTCATCACTAAGTTTATCTTACTTCATTTTCACCATAAAATGGAAAGAGAAAGTAACCATTTGAACAGTGGAAACTGGTAAAGCTCAGTAAGAGGTAGCACAGAAAGAGGTTTAGAGAAGGTACTCTGAAGCTATACTGACAGGGTTTTAATCCTGGTTTTGCCATTCGCTAGCCCTATGCCTGGGCAAGTTACCTTAGCCTCTCTGCACCCTAGTTTCTTCATATACAAAAAAGGATCACAAAGTCCCTACTTCATAGGGTTACTGTGGGGATAATCACCAGTTAAGACAGGCAAAGTACTTAGAACAATACCTGGTCCTAAAGTAAGTGCTCAATAATATTAATTAGCTATCACTATACCACTAGTGATAGTGGTATAGTGACTGAAGCAATGACTGCTCTAAAAGAAAAGTAACCTGTTAGGAATAATTTTTTTGTTTTTAGAGATGGGGTCTTGCTATGTTGCCCAGGCTGGACTCAAATTCCTGGGCTCAAGTGATTTTCTTAAATCACACCACCACGAGTGTAGGAATATACTCTTAACATCCTACACATAGCTGGATTTTCCTATTTGTGGTAATGGGGAAATCACAAGAATTTTCTCCTAGCATACACATTTTTAAATGTACACTCCTTATTTCTTACACTAAACTTCCTATTTGGATTGTAAACTTCTAAAAAGAGTTGTGAGGACCAAAAAAGGACAAATCTAGGCAATACAGTGAGATCTCATCTCTACAAGAAATGTTAAAAAAGAAAAAAAAGATAGTTCAGTGTGGTTATGCATGCCAGAGTAGTCCCAGCTACTCTGGAAGCTGAGGCATGAGGATTGCCTGAGCCCAGGGAGTATAGGCTGCAGTGAGCTGTAATTGCACCACTGCATACTAGCCTGGACTTTAGAGCAAGACCCTGTCTCAATCAATCAATCAATAGGAAACATGCTTTACATACCAGATTTTTCCTACTTGTCACATACCTTGCTGAAAATAAGTTTAATTGCTCAATTCATACTTTCTAGAACTAAGACAGAGCTCTTAACTCAACAAAGTGACTGAGTTCAATCTTAAAAGTGCCTAGAGCCACCAGAAGCTCTAAAATCAAGATTTTTGGAGATTTTCTCTGAAGTCACTCATTTTTCCAAAACCAAGACAATGCCACCTTCCATCTTTCTGATTCTTTAAAATATTACATACAATATTAATACTTTTATTTAATTCTCACTAGGAGATGAACATAAGTTGTATTATTTCTGGAGGGAGTCATTCAGAAAGTTTGGCTGAGGCTTTTTTTTTTTTTGCGGGGCTTAGAAAATGAAATACTCATTTATACAATGAAAGGTACAATAAATAACCCATTTTATTTTCATTCCAATTGGCATAAAGATAAAATTATCTAACAGAAAATGAATAAGAACAAGAACCAGGAACTCTAAATAAGCATGAAACCTTATGAAAAGTACTTCTTGTTTGTAAAAATCAAATTTCTCATTATTAAAATTAGCAAACAATCTGAATTTGCTCCTTATCCAAATTCACCAGTATTACAAAGGTGACTTAAAAAAAAAAAAAAAAGAGAGACAAGATCCTGCCATGTTACCCAGGTTAATCTTGAACTCTTGGGCTCAAGATGATCATCCCACCTCGGCCACCAAAATTGTTGAGATTACAAGCGTGACTCATTCTACCTGGTAGTCAATAGTAATGGTACCCTGAATGGAGCATTTACTGCTTTACTGTGTTAAGTGTTTTCCAGAATTATTTAATTCTCTCAGCAATCTGAGGCAAGTACTCCCACTGCCTCCATTTAATAAAGAAACTGATAACTAGGAAGTTTAAGTAACTTGTTCAAGATCACTTTTAAAATAGATTCTGATTCTTCACCACCCCACACTCCAACTTCTAATTACTATGCTATACCACCTCCCTTCAGACAAGACAGGAAACAAAATCCCACAGGAATTTTTTTTTCTTCTTGTATTTTTCTCTTTTGTGTTTTATTGTTCTCTCAGTATATCTGAGGTTTGTTTAGAATCCAAATAAAATAAACTAATCCTGACAAAACATATTAGTTGGCAGTGAATAGGACAGAGTCAAAAGAAAGGAGTTAAGTCGAAGGTAAAATATTTGCTGACACCACCCTAATTAACATTTTGGGATAATTAACATATTTAAATTAGTCAAGAAATTCTTGTTCCAAAGGCTAAAAATAAGTCAGCTAGAGAGAGTTTACTTAGTGCTACCCACTCATAAATAAAAAGAATGGGCCTGGCGTATGGTGTCATAAAAAATAATGCACACAATCATTCAAACTGAGTATGTGCCAGACACCCAATTCAGGTGTCACAACATTTGTTCCAAATGCTAGAATTCAGAAGGGCATGGACTTTCCAAAATAATGCTTATACCTAGGTTCCTCAGCATCACAGGGCTGGGATTTCTAGTAGCCTAGGGACTTAAATTCAAGTGTATGGAACGGTGGTAAATCATTATCTAAATTCTTAGGAGAACCTTCTGGAGTCACGTTTATAGCAGTCTAGTCTAGTCTTGAGGAATCCTACATATTCAGGAGTTGGAACTTAGGTTTGGAGTTGCCTTGATCAGTAGAGAAGCCTCCATCACTCGCTGTGAATGAAGGGCAAGACCTCAAGAACACCTCTATTTTTTCATCACAGTGAAAAGCACCAGAATTATATATACTCTTTTTTACTTTGAGGTACAGTTTACTTTTAAGAGATAAAAGGTCAAATCATGAAGAAACTAAATGGATATCCCAAAATGTTATTTTATTCCAAATATAAAAAATAGAATTTACATTATATATATTGGAAATTTTCAATACTATAGCTCAACTCTAAGGCAAATAACAACAGTACCAACATCAATGGGATTAATAAGCTTTCATTGACCAGAGGAAAGCTAGAAATTTCCATACTTCAAAAGACTACTATATTGGTAAAAAAAAATGAAGCTACGAATAAGTTATCCTAATGAAAATGCTCTTGAAAATTCACCCAAGTAAAGGTCTGCGTACGGTTCTGCAGACTACCCAGTTTATTATAGTCTTGGTTTTGTTTTCGTTTTGTTTTTTTCAGACAGAGTCTCGCTCTGTCTCCCAGGCAGGAGAAGAATGGCACGTTCTCAGCTCACTGCAACCTCCACCTTCCAGGTTCAAGCAATTCTTCCGCCCCAGCCTCCCAAGTAGCTGGGATTACAGGTCCCATCATCATGCCCAGCTAATTTTTGTATTTTTGTAGAGGTGGAGTTTCACCACGTTGGCCAGGCTGGTTTTGAACTCCTGACCTCAGGTTCAAGGCCACTCGCTTCACGCTCCAAAGTGCTGGGATTGTAGGTGTGAGACCGTGCCTGTATTATTATTCTTTTGTCTTTTTAAAGACAGGATTTCTCTCTAGTCACCAAAGGCTGGAGTGCAGTGGCATGATCTTGGCTCATTGCAACCTCAACCTCCTGGGCTCAAGAACTCCTGGTTGGCTCAAACTCTCAAGTGATCCTCCAGCCTCAGCCTCCCAAAATGCTATAGTTATAGGTACGACTGGCCTACACTGTGCCTGGCCTACAGTCTAGTTAATAATTCATTAATACTAAATGAGAGTACTACTAAGTGAAGACTGATGCACAATATCTAAAGTGTTTGAGAAAAACCTGAGTTTCAACTAGAAGTTATATTGAACAATTAAGATAACAAAACTCCCATTTTTAGGAAAGAGATAATCGATCTTCTATGCTCCCAAAATACTGCCTACCCCATCACTATTCTCTTGACAACACACAATTCCACAAAGGACAAACTGAGAGGAAAAACTAATCAGCAAGTATTATCTCATAGTATATATCAGTAATACAGCCTACATTCCAAAGCAGTGCCATACAAATTAACTTATTTTGATTGTTTTTCTGTTGCCATCTGTTTACATACTAACACAGCAATTGGTATATGACTCATTGCAAACTGAGCTGATAAACGATACCTAAAAGTAACTTTATAGGTTATTAGAAATTTTCCATGATACCTTGAAACTTCATTTCATCTATTTATTTGAAACATCTCACCTGATGCTTCATGTAAAAGAAACCAAAATCCAACCTTCCAGATGCTAGGGCATCTAGATGGATAAACTATTCTGCAATACTCACCTAGAGCTGTAAAATCTGAACCAGATTTGAAGAGAGCTGATGCCAGGAGCTGAAACTGTTAAAAAACAAAACAAAACAAAAAACAAAACAAAACAAAAGAAGCAAATTAGCTGGCTAAGTGCACTGAAGGAAAATAACCTTCTGTAACTTTGACCATTTGTCAGCAACTACGTATTTCTGCATGTGTGTGACACAGGTCAAGTCACCAAATAGTGGCAAGAAGAACATATTCAGATTAAATAACATACTGACTTTTTATCAGGCTATTAACATTTTCCAAAATACTGGGCCATATCCTGGAATTATTGTATTTTTAAAATGTTTTAAAGTATGTATTTATTAAGAAACAACAGCACAACAAAACAAAAAAGAAAACTGTCATTTCAGAATTTAACACATATGAACAGATTGGTGCCCTGGGCCCAGTCATTAAATTTTTAGTATATATGCATTCTCATTTCAAAAATAAATGTAAGCCACTGTAAAATACCTGATGTCTCAGCTGTGTAATTCAAAATCAGAGAAAAAAAGCATGTATAGACCATTCCTAAATTACAACTTAGATTGAGATTCTACAATTATATATAATTATATTGTTAAAACCCAATAGGCTTTTTTAATGGACATAATGTTGTAAATTTTGTTAGATTTCCAGCCTGCCAGTTAAAGTTAGTTTAAAACAGAGAATGTAATTGAACAATGAAGAAACAGAGTAAGACAAAACTATTGCAACATTAGCAATTTAACAAATAGGCACAAAGGAAAAATTTGGAAAACTATTTACATTTATCCTGAACAAGGATGTAGGAAAAGAGGCGAGTTAAAGGAATGAATTAGAGCAGACAAACTCCTCAACACAGTTACTTGACACTTTCTAAGACTTGAGCAGTTAATACCACCAATTCCTCAAAATATATTTCACATCTATGTTTGCAGCCTTTTACATTTCAAGTATTAAATCATACTAATATTTGTAAGCCCTGATTAATGGTCCTTCGAAGATCAGAAATTGTACAAACCTTCCCTAGGTATTTATCTAAGCAAGAGTTAGGAAAAGGGGGGATAAAAAGAAAAATTTAAAAACTGATGGAAGTTCTTTACGTCGTCTGGATATCAGTCCTCTGTCAGATATATCTACTGCAAAAACTGTTTAGTCTGTGGCATGTCTATTTATTTATCTATTTAGCCAGGGTCTTCTCTGTCACCCAGGTGGGAGGGTGGTGACATAACCATTGGCTCACTGCAGCCTCGACCTCTTGGGCTCAAGCAATCCTCTTTCCTAATTTTTAATTTTTTAAAATTTTTTGCTAGAGTTGCTGGTCTCAAACTCCTGGGAGCAAGCAATCCTTCCTCCTAGGCCTCCTAAAGTGCTGGGATGACCAGTGTGAGCCACTGAACCTGGCCGTGTCTATTTATGTTTCTAATAGTCCTTTAATATGTAGAAATTTTAACTTTTTTGAAGTCAAATTTATCAAGATTTTTCTTTGATGATTACTATCTTTTGTGTCATGTCAAGAAATCTTTACCCATTCCAATGTGAAGATAATCTCCTATGTTTTCTTCTCAAAGCCTTATTCTTCTGGATTTTATTCTTAGATCTGTAATCCATCTTAATGTTTCAGTAAACAGTGAGAAGGGTTTGAAATATACAGCTATTCAGTATCATTTGCTGAAAACTTTCTTTGCCCCATTGGACTTGGCACCCTGGTCAAAAAACAAGGGACCGCTTATGTATGGGTCTATTTCTGGACTCTTTTCTGTTCTGCTGATCTATGTCTATCCTTAACCCAGTACCACACGGTCTTGATTATTGTGGCTTTATACAGAGTCCTGAAATCAGGTAGCATAAGCCTTCCAACTTTTTCTTTTCCCTTTTTTTTGAGACAGAGTCTCAGTCTGTCACCAGGCATCAGGATGGAGCCCAGTGGCACGACCTCGGCTCACTGCAACCTCCGCCTCCTGGTTCAAGCAATTCTCCTGCCTCAGCCTCCCAAGTAGCTGGGACTACAGGTGTGCACCACCATGCCCAGCTAATTTTTTTGTATTTTTAGTAGAGACGGGGTTTCACCATGTTGGCCAGGATGATCTCGATCTCTTGATCTCGTGATCCGCCCGCCTCGGCCTCCCAAAGTGCTGGGATTATAGGCGTGAGCCACCGCACCCAGCCATTTTTCTTTTTTCAAAATTGTTTTGGCTAGTCTAAAACCTTTGCATTTCCATGTAAATTTTAGAGTAGTTTGTCTATTTCCTCAATGACAACAACAACAAAAAGAAACTTATACTGCATTAAGATAAAGACCAATTTGGGGAGATTGGGCAGCTTTAAACAATTTTTAGTGTTTTGATCCATAAACATGATATGTATCTCCATTTATCAAGGTCTTCTTTAATTTCTTACAATAGACTCATCCTACCCATTTGGTATTTCTGATGCTAATATAAACAGTATGCTTTTCATTTTCTAATTGTTCACTGCTAATATAAAAATAATTGCTAATTATTGCTTTTTTTTCTATAGGCCTTATATTTTTGTAACTTGTTAAATTTACTTGTCCTGGTGGGGTTTTGAGAATGTACATAATCATGTTACCTACAAATGCAAACAAATTTACTTTCTCCTATCCAATCTATATGCTTTTTTTAAAAAAAAAATTATACTAGCTAGGACTTCTAGTAGAAGGTTGAATAGAGGAGCTGACAATATACATGATTTCCTTGTCACAATCTTAGGGAAAAGCGTTTAATGTTTAACAATTAAGTATAGTCCTAGCTATGTGTTTTTCAAAGGTGTCCGTTAGGAATTTAGATTCAAGGTTTTTTTTATTCCTACTTTGCTAAGAATTTTTATTATGAATTGAGTCTGAATTTTGTTAAATGCTTTTCTTCACTTACTAAGATGATCTATGATTTTCCTTCTTCATTCTGTTAACATGGTGAATTACACTGAATTTTTTCCAAATGTTAAACTAGCTATATATTCCTAGAATAAACTATCACTTAGTCATAGTACACTAACCTTTTAATATATTGCTAATTAAGTAAAATTTTCCTAAGAATTTTACATTTATGTTTATAAAAAATATTAGTCTATGATTTTCTTTGCTTGCAATGTCTCTCTTGGGATTTTATTTGATTCTATTTGAGATAGGATCCCTCTCTGTCACCAAGGTTCAGAGTGTAGAGGCACAATCACAGCCTCCCTGAACTCAGGTGATCCTCCCACCTCAGCCTCCAGAGGAGCTAGGTCTACAGGTATGCACCACCACACCCAGCTAATTTTTTGTTTGTTTTTGTAGAGACAGGTTTTTGCCATGTTGCCTAACCTAGTCTCAAACTTGTGGGCTCAGGTGATCCATCCCTAAGCTTCCCAAAATGCTGGGATTACAAAGTGTGAGCCACCATACCTGGCTTCTGTTGGGATTTTATATCAGAGTTAACCTGGCTTTATAAAAAGATTTAAGAAGTATTGCCTTCCTCTAATTTCTGAGAGTCTATGTAAAATTGGTATTTTTTTCTTCGTCCATTAAATGGTTGATAGAATTTATTATTATAGACCTAGAGGTTTTTTGTTAGAAAATTTTTGATTACAAGTTCAATCTCTATAGTACATATGAAGTACCTTAAGATTTTCTATTTCTTCTTTGTCAGTTTTGGTAAACTGTGTCTTTTAAGGAATGTGTCAATTCATCAAGTTGCTGAATTTGTTGATGAAGTTGTTCATACCTACTTTACCTTTAATATTAGGCTCTATACTGATTTCCTCTTTTCATTTGTGATGTTGGTAGTTTGTTTTCACTTTTTTTCCTTGGTGACATGGTTTGGACTTGTGTCCCCACCCAAATCTCATGTTGAATTGGGGGAGGGGTTTGGTGAGAGGTGACTGGATCACAGGGGCCAATATCCCCCTTGCTGTTCTTGTGATAGTGAGCTCTCCTGCTATCTGATGGTTTAAACATGCGTGGCACTTCCCCGCTCATTCTCACTCTTTCTTCTGCCATCATGTGAAAAAGGTGCATGCTTCCTTGTAAGTTTACTGAGACCTCCCAGTCATGCTTCCTGTTAAGCCTACAGAACTATGAGTCAATTAAACCTCTTTTCTTCATAAATTACCCAGTCTCAATTAGCTCTTTATAACAGTGTGAGAAGAGACTAATAGACTTGGTAGGTCTTGTTTGGGGCCTATCAATTTATTTACCTTTTCACAAGGCCAACTTTTCACTTTTAAAATTTCTCCACTGTTTCCTAGTTCATGAATTTTTTTATTTTCTACCTATTTGGGGTTGAATTTGCTCCTCTTTTCTAACTCCTAAGGTGAAAAATAAATGTTATTGGCTCCACATACAGGATAAAGAGAAAACTATTATCTAAACCATCTGATTAAATAAATGGAATGGTAATCCTAAGGATTTTAACACATACCAAGTGATATTACAGACCTCTCTTCCAAACTCTGGAATCAAATATCCAACAGTCACCTCAACATCTTAAGTTGGCTGTCTCATAGATGTCTCAAACTAAACAGTTTCAAAATTAAACTCCTGAATGCCAGCCAGGAGTCCCCACAAATCAGGTTCCCCCACGAGAACTTTCTCACTTCAGTTGACAGTAATTCTATCCTTCCAGATTTTCAGGCCAAAAATTTTAGAGTCATTTCTTTCAAACCCTAGATGTAATCTAGGATAAAATTCTGTTGGTTCTATCTTCAGTCACCATAGCCTCCTTGCTATTCTATTAAACCTTGTCAGAATGATCCCATCCTGGGATCTTTGTTCTAGACCTCCCTTTGTCAGAAATTATTTTCTCCAAATTATCTCTCTCAAGTTTTCATGCAAATCTCATTTCTAAACGAGGCCTATTATGATTATCCTATGTTACACTGCAACTGCCCAATTCTCATCCCTTATACTTCTCCCTTTACCCTTTTTATCCCACATTTATTTTTCCATAACACTTATTAAATTCTTTCGGGTCTTGAACTCCTGACCTCAGGTGATCTGCCCACCTTACCCTCCCATAGTGATGGGATTACAGGCATGAGCCACCTCACCTGGTCCAATACTTGTTATATTCTAATGTTCTATATAATTTGTTTCTTTAATGTTTATTGTTCATTGTCTTTCTCTACTAAGATGTAAGCACCTCCGGGACAGGGATCTGTTTGGCTTGCTGACATAGCTCCTCTGCCTAGAAAGCCTGACCTATTATGGGGAATCGATATACATCTGTTCAATGAATGACACCAGTACTCCAGAAACGCCATAGAAATGTAATGAAGACAAAATGTGTTATCGTAGCTGAAAACTTATTCTCATTTCTCCTCTATTATAGAAATCTTCTCTGAAAGTAGTATAACTGACTCAGACATCCTTTTCTTGGGCCTTTTCTAGAAAAAAATATCATGTTTTATAAGGCTTATTGCCAATTCAGAACCAAAGTTCTCAAGCCTGGAGGAACCAAAGAACATTTTTTTGTTATATTGTTGATAGTCAGCTATCACTGTCCTGACAACAGGCACAATGATGACGATTAACAACTGTGAAAAAAAAAAATCTAAAAACACTTTTTGTGTTTTGAGACTTAAATGAGAAAGTCATTTAAAACATGACATTTTTGTAAAACATACAAACAGAACAAAAACAAGTTACTATAGGAAATGAAGAGCAGTAAGGCCCTTCTTCACAATGAAAGTGAAGATCTACATGTCTTACTGACAAATACTGTAAGTATACAGTGAACTGTCACCAGGGGATTTCTTTCCCTCAAACAAACTGTTGGATACAAAACGTTTTAAACGTTATATTTGTTCACACATTTTTAAACAAAATATTATTACAGACCAGTAATTCTCAATGTCAGAAATGTTTTCTATTTTCTGTTCTTTAAGAGTGACAGAGGAGAATCTTAGGGTGAGGACATTGTTTTAAAAAGTGTCTAAGGTGATTTTTAACTACACACACACACACACACACGACCATTTCTTTCTAACTTCTAGTAGAGTTAATCAACTCTTGCTAGACTAAGCTTTTATGAAATGGAATAGAAGCTGGTGGTACACAAAATCATAAGCTGTTGCTGTTATAAAAAGAAGAAAAACAGAATCCAGCTACCAAAATTTTTTAAATGGCTCAAATGAACTTGAGATACCTCCTGTCCTGTTTTTTCCCCATTAGTTTAACTTTAAGAACAAACTGTCTTGTTTTCTTTGGCCTACTTGCAGCTCACACAGCTGAAATTATTTACTTTGAAATATTGTGTTTTGGTTTCAAAAAATAAGGAAAAAATAATTTCTCCCAGTTACAGCCATTTTACATAGAATATGGAGAAAACACAAGGAAATCTATGCACAACTCTAAATGCATGGCCTAACATTAACATTAATGGAATCTTCAGAACTAAGTACAGTTATAAGTGGGAACAGATTAAACCAAACATATTCTGCCACTTGGCAAAACTACAATTATTTCTCCTACTTCCTCTAGTATTATGGATCGACTGAAGACTCAAGGAAAGACAATTAACTGGCCCCCTTTCAAGGGAGTTCTAAAGTACGTTCTGCAGATTTTCTACCTACTGAAGGACTGTAATCAATATTGAGAGACTTAGGACTTAATTTTATAGTACGAAACTTTGAAAGAGTATCTCTCTGCTATGGTGCTGAAGACACGCAGGCTCTATTGCTTGAAAGTACAATGAACCTGGAGCCTGAAAGTGATTCAACATTAAATCTGACACCTGTGTCAATGCTGAAGTGTGCTGGGCACAGTTTGATACTGCTATTACAAACCCAAAGCAAGGCAGCAGCTAACAGGGAAAGAGACCTAAGAATCAGAACTACAGATAATCAATACGAATTCTTTGAGTGGAAGCCAATACACTGCCGTTCAGATGTTGCTAGATCAACAATGATGGCTGGCAAAAGGAAAAAAAAAATGACAAAAAGAATCTCAGATATTAGTGGAAAGAGAGCTTATAAAACCACAAAAATCATTGCAGGCATATTCACACACCATGGATAAGCAAACATGTCCTTGAGGATATGGAATCTTTAGAAACAGTTGTTTCTATCCCAATGCTAGGTAACAAAAAAAACTGAAAAGTAATAATTGGCTAACTGATTTCTCAAGCTTAGCAACTAGTGATGAATGAAATTAGCAGCCTATAGACAAACTATACTGCTACAACATTTACATAACTAAATATTAAGGAACCAAGGATTCTAAGTCCCACCAACCTCTCTTCATTTTCTCCCTAAGCAACAGGGGTTTTCTTTCCTCTCTTGGGGAATCTTGACTATCAACAGAAAAATTTACATTGAACCATTACATAATCCTTATGTAAAATAATCATGGGACTATGGACAAAGTAAAAATTTCTATTTGCCTCCCAAAACACAAAACTAAGTTAAAACTTTATAACTGATAATACTTTTCTGAATGGACCACAAGTTTTTGGTGACTGGAATCTTATCAAAGGAAAACATGCCTATTCAATTTTTTATTTCATTTTCTCTGTGACATTTTAAAGATTACTGATATCATCATATTTTCTTTATTTTCCATTAAACACTCAAGAGCAAAATCATTAAATGTAAGTTAGTAAGGTATTTTAAAAATACTCAATTTCTGAAGTTTATTACCAACTTTGTTTACCTCTTTTGTTTCTTCTGGGTCTGAATGATCCACAGTTATATAAAGATCATTTTGTAAATATTTCAGAGCACTAAGGGGATCCATTTGGGCCTTTTCTTCAAACCTAGAAAATGTAAACAAGAATAATTGTCTGGAGTTATGAGAAAACATCAGAAGTGTCTTTCAGAGCTGGAATAAAACATTGCTATACTGCATATGAGGAGTTGTTCTGGATATCCAGAAAACTGAAGTTTAGGAATCCAGAAGTAACAATACTGCCATGGAGGTAGTGTAGATGTGGAGTTCCTGGAAAGGTAACAGTAATGCCAGGTGGTCACAGACAGTTGTGGTGCTAGAGGATGGGTAGGAGCATTTCCTATTCTTCTCTTAAAACTACAAGGTAGGACTAAACCAACTACCAAACACAGAGAATATGCTAAGTATTTTATAAAACAGACCTTCAAAAAATCCCACTGTGTTTCATCTAAAACAAACAGACATAAAAATACTTGCTTAGATTTGTATATTTTCTAATGGAGACGCTTAACAGATACCTTGGAAACTGAAACAAGTAGGGTATCTTTAAATGAGTATTGTTAACACTGATTACTTTTAATGAGATTATGTCCAAGTCTCAGTCAGTAAAAACAACTGCAGCAACCACTTATAAAGCATTTGTAATATGCTAGATGCTGTATCAAGTATTTTACATTTATCATTTCATCTATCCTCACAATAATACTATGATGATGAGCTATTTTATCACCATTTAAAAAACAAACAAAAAAAACAAGTTCAGGCACTGTGGCTTATGCCTGTAATCCCAACACTTTGGGAGGACAAAGTGGATGGGTAGCTTGAGCCCAGGAGTTTGAAACCAGCTTGGGCAACATGGCAAAACCCCATCCCTACAAAAATTAGCCTGGTGTGGTAGCACATCCCTACAGTCTCAGTTACTCGAGAGTCAAGGTGGGAGGACTGCTTGAGCCTGGGAGGTCAAGGGTGTAGTGAGCCATGATCGTACCACTGCACTATGGCCTGGATGACGAGTGAGATCCTGTCTCAAACAAACACCCCAACAGATGAAAAACTGAGGTGCAAAGAATGAATCTGGATGAGTTCTCCTAAACAACAACAAAAAACTATTTGAATCTATATATCTATTCGAAAAAGATAGATACAGATTTATTTCTAATAAGTTGGTATGCTTTTCGAAATATACAGACAAGGAAAAGACAAATTTCCTTTGAGTAGGAAAGATGATGAAGAGCCTTTCACGATGGGTGTTCAGGTTGATGGCATCCTCAGTGATAGGGTACCTGTACTTTAGGCAGGGGGAAAGATGAGCAAAATATTACAGCTCTCTTGTACCAGGCAGTACCCTAAGAGTGATGGGGGCTTACAGCCTTCAGATGAGAGTCCTTTAGGTACAGGCCATGTTACTCTACCATCTTGTCCACAACAGATTAGATTAGACCATTTTGGCACCTATGCTTTGATTAGTAATTTATAAAGCGGTTTGGCAGAATTTTTCCCAACAGGGACACTATCCCCAAGAAATGCTTTCTAAGAAGATTCTTTCTCTTGGGTAATCTGAATGTGACAAATATAAGGACAGTAAAGGGCAGACAGAAATAGAGAAGGCAGATTCTGTCTGTCTGTCTGCCTGCCTGCCTGTCTAGGCCACGAGGTTGGGAGATAGTCAGGAGTAGTCAGAACAGAACAAGCAGAGAGAGAAAGAAGCAGACAGAAATACAAGGAAAAGCTACGTAGCGCCTGGCTACTAGAATTGTTCCAATATCCTAAACAATTCTCCATCCAGCTTCACTGTTCAAACTACTGAGAAAGTGCCTTAATTCTCTGAATAATTTAATAATAATTTTTTTTCAGTTGAGGTATTCAAAGCATTCAATAACCTTTATAACCTGAAATAACCTAACCAACATATACCTAGAATCCTATATCCAGTATAAAGAGATCAGTTTCCTGAAAGTTATGTTTTCCATCTTCATTTTCTACACTATTTTTGGCCAGCAAGAACTTATCACGAACTTGTGTCTGCAGTCTAGAATCATAATCAATAGTTCTGCCCTCTTCCTAAATGAACAGAAATTAATCCTGTAACAATTTTTTTTTTTGCCCATTTCTACCCTCAACTCATCATCATCAAGTTTGGAAACCTGAATGCCGTATGAAAAAATAATAGTGGTATTTTATTTATTAAATCATGAGACATCAGTAAGAACAAGGAGATACTCCCTTGGCACACAATATACTTCTCTCCTTCCAAATTTATATTCTAACTAAACAGAATAATAATTATTGTCCATTAAGAACAACACAAATAAGCCAGTCTAGCAGTGTAGTGTAAGCTCCCACATTATGAAAAAAAATCTGCATAACATTTGAATTAAAAAGACAATTTTTGTGTTCTACCCAATTCATAGATACAAACGTCTATCTATTCTGTCTACATGTAGCTATGTCCCTCAAATTCTTGAATTCGTCTAAGAGCTTGGTAGAGAACAAGGTCTAAAATGAGCCTTTTATTGTCAGTTTGAATTAATAGTTGACAAGATTCTCAAGATGCCCTGAGTCATCCTCGACTGCTCTCTTTCTCTCATATCAAATCCATCAAGAAATTCTGTTCGCACAATCTTCAATGTTTATCCAGAATGTTAAGGTGCGCTTTTTGATCTCTTGTGAAGTGTCTCTTCCTCTTCCTGTCCCTCAAATGATGGTGGTCCTCAGAGAATATCCAACAACCTTTCACTCTTCTTGCTCACCCTGAGCAAGCTCCCTCTCCCTGTGACTCACAGTAATGTCAGGCCAAGTCTTTTCACCAAATGTTCACAGATGGTCTCTGCTTGCATGTCTCACAAACTTCTCAAACCTAAAGCGCTCCAAACTGAACTAATCTTTTCCAACACAGAAAGCTGTTGTTTCTTAAGAATTCCCCCTACCTGAGGGAAAACAGCCACAAGTTTTCTTCTGGAAGAAAACACGAAATGATTTTTATAAAATCAAGCCTGAATGTGTCATTATTCTACTTAAAATCTTACAATGCTCCCCTAAGAGTAAAAGCCTAAGGCCCTTTACAAGCTGTCCCTTTCCTAGACCCTTCAACTTCATTTCCTACCACAATCACCTCACTCATTCTACTTCTGCCACACTTCTCTATTCACTCCTCAAATTATTCAGGCATCTTTTTTAACCTCAGAGCCTTGACTATTACCTGTCTAGAACACCTCCCCCATCACCAGACAGTGATACAATTCAGTCCCTCTTGTCCCTTAAGTTTCTACTCAAATGCCATCTTCACTGTGTAGTCTACTCTGATATCTTATTTAAAATTACATTCCCACCTCCCACACCTGTACGAACAATAACTCAAGGTTTTTTTCACAGTACTTACCATCTAACATGTAATATAAATTCCTTATTATGTTTATTTTTAGTCTCCCTTCTTAAGAATGAAAACTTGAGGGCAGATTTTTGTTCATTTGCTTCATTGATAAGTATGTGTATCTGATGGTTAAGTGGTGAGCTCTGGAGTCAAAACACTCAGGCTCAAATCCTGGCTCTGCCAAGAATCATATGCAGTGTCTAGCATAAAATAATTGCCAGGCTGGTCTTTAATTCCTGGGCTCAGGCAGTCCTCTTACCTCTTCCTCCCAAAGTGCTGGGATTGTAAGTATGAGCCACTGCACCTGGCCCTAAAGCAAATTTTTATTACCATATCACACTACAGTAAACAAAAGGACAGAAACCTCTTTCTGCATTTTTTAGTAGTTTATTACCTTCTAGGCTAAAAAGCAAACATGACTCAGGGTGTGAGTGTGTGTGTGTGTGTGTGTGTGTATGTGTATGTATATATGTGAAAATGTTTGATTAAATGATTTTGCAATTAAATAATAAAGGTGATATAAAACCACAAGCATATTTTGAAACTGTATTGTGAAACATCAAATTATGAAGATATTGTATAGTCAACTATATCACACATTCACTGTTAAGAGTTATCAAAAGCTCAGCCATGTGTCATTGAGCCAGAACTGATCTAATTTGTAGTTAGCCTTGAGTTACTTCAATGTAGGCATGTCACCTTCACAAAAATTTTTTTCCATTAACAGTTGCAAAATTTCACTTGTTCTGCATTTAAAAATGTTTAGCATCAAATATCTATATTTTGTATCTTCCTTTGAAAAAGGAAAGCAAAAATAAGTAGAATAACAGGGCATTTACAAAATTCATGATCTTCATAGTATTCATACTGTTTCATTATTAAATTTGCCAAGAAAGTTGTAATTCCAAAGCTAGCTGATATCAACAATAGTTGATAATGTTAATTAAAAGTTTTCAGTGAATTATTCTCATACCTGTGTTTTCTTATGAGATACTTGCAATGCCTCAGTAAATAATCTTTTGAAGGTCTACACAACTTCAATGACCAGAAGTCATCTAATCTCATCTTTGGAGAGCAAGATTTTCCTGGATTCCCACCAAATAAATAATGAACCTATAATAAGCAAAATAAGCCAGATTTAAAAAAATTCATGCATACCCAAGAAATTTTAGTAGCAGTGCATAAAGCCTATTAAAAAAAAATTAAAAATTATACTTCATTTTTACCAAAGCTTCTCTTGATTTTTCTCGTTTCTATTTTACTTAAAGCACCATGGCTACTTTAAAAAACTGCATGCATGCTAAAATGAGTTATATTACTATATTACAATGACAGTGGAAGGCACGAAACAAAAACGATGATAGGAAGAATTTAATCCAAGATATCATTTGCTGACGACAACAAATAATGGGGATAAAATTAATCAAAATATTGGTCATATAACAAATATCTTAAAAAATTCTGACGTAATGCTGAATCACTAAAAGTTAACAGTCATCAACAGGTCAACTAGAAACTTTAAATTTTTTAGGCTCGGTGCAGTGGCTCCTGCCTGTAATCCCAGCACTCTGGGAAGCCAAGGGAGGAGGATCATGAGGTCAGGAAATCGAGACCATCTGGCTAACACGGTGAAACCCCATCTCCACTAAAACTATAAAAAATAAGCCGGGCTATAGAGTGGTGGCATGCGCCTGTAGTTTCAGCTACTGGGGAGGCTGAGGAAAAAGAATCACTTGAACCTGGGAGTCAGAGGTTACAGTGAGCCAAGATCGTGCCACTGCACTCCAGCCTGGTTAACAGAGCAAGACTCTGTCTCAAAAAAGAAAAAAAAAAATTAACAACTTAATTTTGCTTTAACTGAAATGCCAAATATTAAATGGCACATCAAATTTGTGAAATAACATTAAAAACATTATTTCATAATGCCAAAAATGAAATGCAAAAAAAATTGATAATGATTTCACTATTACTTAATTAGAGTTATCTGTTCCTCAGATAACTTTGGAAGATAAAACAGTAAAGAAACGAAATCACTTTCATAAGTAGTAGAAGTGAGAGGTATAACTGTCTAAATTTATTGCACTTGAATGTTATTCTGTATTTATACAAGGCATTTAAATATTTAACTATTTTAACTAAAATTAATGGCTAATTTATTAAAATAGTTCCTAAAATTTTGAAAACACTTATATTCATTGATGTTACATAATAGAGTTATCCTCATTCTTTAGATGGAAATTCATTTACACCTTAAATTCAGAGGCTATAAGGGAAAGGGCTTTTACTCACTCCCATGGTATCTTTTACCTAAAGGTCTCAAAGTATATCGTGTAGAGTTTAAATAATCATCGATGGCTAAACAGAAAGAATTAGTCTCCGTCAGTAATTTACTATAAGTCCAATCATTAAAGTACACAGTTAAGTTTAAGGGAGAAATAAAGAAATAACTCTCAACACTATGACACTAAAAATTCATAACACAGGACCATATCACAAGGCTGATTTAAAAGAGATATCACTAGTATATAAGGAAAACAAAGATAGAACGACTTCTTACACAATGGGAAAATCTAAAACCAAAACTATGTTTATATCATGAAACAAGGTACCCACATGCTGACAACTGTACATCTTTTACTTGGATAATCACATTGTAGAACAATAGGCTATGTCATGTATCTAGATTTATACAGCTAATAGGCAGCCAGTGACTATCTTCAAAAAAGGAAAAGTACCAAGAATTACAGGCTATGAAAAAATGCTCATTCGCTTAAGGAATTTTAGGAAGAAGTGATATTGAGTGCTTGCTACATACTCTATTGAATGTCTACTGTGTATCATAACTTTTTACTCAAATCCAGTTTAAAACAATCAGAAAGCTACATTTGGAAATTATTTCAGACAGTAGGCCATGGAAAGTTTACAGGTCAATCTAGTCAGGATACCTTGTGTAGCTCATCGTATACAAGCTGATGGGCAAACCTTGGACATGGTTCTTCTTCCTGAAGACTTTTAGTTGGATTATCCTTTGCAGCTTGATCATTCTTATAGACACAAGACCTGCAAGACATTGCTTTTAAGGCATTCTACCCTAGAGAATTAGCAGCAAAGATAATACAACTGTAGCAAGCAAATTAATTACATGTCTAATTACTAACAAAAATTTTAGTAATGTGTTCATATCAAATCTTAAAGTTCCAGTCATCAATAAAACAATATGAATTTGTTAGAACTGAGTTCTAAGTTCTTTTGATGTCCATCAAACAGCTCATATATACTAACTGTGTTATAAAATACAAATAGCATACATGAAAGCTCAAACTAAGACTGAAAGAGATACTATCTTTGTCCATGTAAGCACAATAAAAAGAGGGACAATATGCATTGCTGTCATTTGACTGTAAACGGATGTCCTATTTAGAAAATAATAAATTCCTTAGCTGCAGAGCATTACTCTCCATTACTGAATGGAGAAGTTCTCTGAAGTGCTTCTGTTCTGCACAATATTCACTAATGGAGCAATCACATAAATGTCAGAGCTGGATCCATGTTTTCTCAAAGCAAAATATGCAACACCAGTTCTATGAGATGCTCTAGGACACAAAAGTCATGGTTTGAAAATGCTAAGTAATATCGTCCTCTCCCTGCTATAGTCAAACCTCTTTCTTTTATGAAAACTAAGATCTGAGAACATAAAAAAGCATTGTTCTCAAGTTCACACATCTACTTGAGAACAGAACCTAGACTAAAACACAATTCTCCCAAGTCCCAGACCAGGAACCATCTACTAATTAAAAAACATGTAAAATCCATTCACTGAACATCATTGTATACATAGGTACCGATACTTTTCTTCAAAATAACTTATACTGGGATTGCAGCAAAGACAAGAGTTCCTTACCAACTATTTCTCACAATGTCATAAATCCAGAATGAATTTCTAACATTCTCTTCCCTCTTTTCCTTATCTTTGCTGAGTCCAGATAAGACATGTATTTCATTCAGTTCTGGATCAATAGTTGCTCTCTGTGTAAATCCTGTCATTGGAACTATAAATTAAAGAAAAGAAAACAAGACGAAAATATTCCCATTAGATTAGTACTTTTTTTTTTTTTTTTTTAAAGAGAGAGGGTTTCACTCTGTTGCCCAAGCTGAAGTGCAGTGGCACAATCATGGCTCATTGCAACCTAGGACTCTTGGACTTAAAGGATCCTCCTGCCTCAGCCTCCCAAGTAGCTGGGACTACAGGCATATCCCAGCTGTAAAGATGGGATCTTGCTACGTTGCCCAGGATGGTCTCAAACTCCTGGGCCTTAAGCAATATTCCTGCCTCATCCTCCCAAACAGCTGGTGTTACAGGCATGAGCCACCACACTTAGCCTCTACTCCTTTCTCTTTAAAAGATCAATACAGCTTTGTCCTGCACTATGTGTCTACATATGTAACTTTTAACACGCTACATAACTTTTTGATTAAACAATGAACAATTATATATTGCCTGCTCCTTGCTCTATGAGCTCGGAAAGGAAAGAGGCTGTTTTGTTCATTATTTTGTTTCCAGTACCTAAAATAGTGCCTGGAATATAACAAATACTAAACGATTTGTGGAAAGACTGAAAGAATGTCAATTGCCAGCTAGAGGGAAAAAAGCAGAAACAGGTATGCAATATAACCATTTTTTTACATAAGGAAGGAAAGGATAATGCTTTAATTAATGGATTTATTATCTGTAATTTGATAGCAAAGATTATTCAAATCTTGACCTGGGGAAAAAAATTTGACAAAAGGTGAAACACAGGGTTGCTTAATAAGGTCAGAGTCATTAAAAATATGTCATAAAGAACGATCCAAGATGGCCGATCGCTAACATCCCGGGATTGCAGCTCTCAGGGAAGGCGCGGAGAACTAGAGGACGCCACACTTTCAGACAAATTCTGGTCGCTCACGGAGCAGGAGATCCCCCAGTGGAGGAAACACAGGGTTGGCCAGCGCGACTCTCGTGGCCGGTGCAGCAGTTCCGCCAGCACCTTGGCGCGGCAGCTCTCGGAGCAAAGTAAACAGGCTCGGAGGACCGGCCCGGGTCCCCAGCAGGACACCAGAGCCCGGCAGCGGCTGTGACGGCACCTCGGCGCAGGAGCGCTCGGCGCAGAGTAAACAGGAACGGTTTCCCTTCTGACCGAGGTTTGGAGCCCCGGGAAGGCAGAGTCGCCTACTACGGACACAAGAAGGAAGCTAGACAGGAGAATCCTGGGCAGAAAAGCACCATCAGTTTTAGCGCCGCTGCTCTGGCCCTGGGAACTAACAACCTGGACGTCCACTCAAGAGACCTAATCTGAAAGTTGGTAATTTCAAAGAGACAGGAGGATAAATTTACAATGACGGGAAGAAATCAGCGTAAAAAAGCTGAGAATACTCAAAATCAGAACGCCTGTCCCTCTAAAGATGATCACAGTTCCACATAAACAATGGAACAAGGCTTGATGGAGAACGAGCGCATCCCAATGACAGAATCACTCTTCAAGGAATGGATAATAACAAACTTCGGTGAGTTAAAAGAACATGTTGTAGCCCAACGTAAAGAAACTAAGAACTTTGAAAAAAGGTTTGATGAAATCCTATTGAGAATAGACAACTTAGAGAGGAGTATGAGTGAATTAATGGAACTGAAGAATACAATACAGGAACTCCGAGAAGTATGCACAGGTTTAAACACTCGAATTGTTCAAGCAGAAGAAGGGATATCAGAGGTCAAAGTCCAACTTAATGAAATAAAACGTGAAGAAAAGATTAGAGAAAAAAGGATAAAAAGGAATGAGCAAAGTCTCCAAGAAATGTACGACTATGTGAAAAGACCAAATTTACGTTTGATAGGTGTACCTGAATGCTACGGAGAGAATGAATCCAAGCTGGAAAATACCCTTCAGGATATTATTCAGGAAAATTTTCCTAAACTAGCAAAGCAGGTCAAAATTCAACCCCAGGTAATACAGAGAACACCACAAAGATATTCCTCAAGAAGAGCAACCCCAAGGCACATAATCGTTAGATTCACCAGGGTTGAAACGAAGGAGAAATACTAAGGGCAGCCAGAGAGAAAGGTCATGTTACCCACAAAGGCAAGCTTATCAGACTTACAGCAGATCTCTCAGCAGAAACTCTACAAGCCAGAAGAGAGTGGGGGCCAATATTCAACATTCTCAAAGAACAGAACCTTCAGCCCAGAATTTCATATCCAGCCAAACTAAGCTTCACAACTGAAGGAAAAATAAAATCTTTTATGAACAAGAACTCAGAGATTTTATTACCACCAGGCCTGCTTTACAAGAGCTTCTGAAAGAAGCATTACACACAGAAAGAAACAACCAGTATTAGCCTTTCTAAAAATACACCAAAAAGTAAAGAGCACCAACATAAAGAAGAATTTACACCAACGACTGGATAAAACAGCCAGTCAACATCAAATGGCAGTAACCCTAAATTTAAATTGACTAAATCCCCCAATCAAAAGACACAGCCAAAACCCAATGGCATGTTACATCCAGACCTGTTTCACATGCAAGGATACACAAAGACTCAAAACAAAGGGATGGAGAAAGATTTACCAACCAAATGGAGAGCAAAAATAAATAATAAATAAATAAAAAGCAGGAGTTGCAATTCTCGTATTGGAGAAAATAGATTTTAAAGCAACAAAGATATAGTGGTAAAAGGATCAATGCAACAACAAGAGCTAACGATCCTAACACCCAGATATGAGACTTAGATTCAATGAGACAGAAAATTAATAAGGATATCAAGGACTTGAACTCAGATCCGGAACAAGTAAACTTAATAAATATTCATAGAGCTCTCCACTTCAAATACACAAAATATACATTCTTGTCAATACCACATCACACCTACCCATAAGTTTAAATGAAACATTGATTGGCCATTATTAATACTCAATTTTTTTCAAAATAAAGCAATATTTCCATTTACTCTCCCTCTTTCTCTTCCTCTTTCTTCCTCTCCTTTACTTATTTTTTTTTCTTTCCTTCTCTCAAAAAAAAAGAAATCAACTTGTAAACCTCTAGATCCAGGTCGGCAATGTCTCTCTCATTGCTTGAATTCCTTCCTTCCCTTCCCTCCCTCCCTCCCTCCCTCCCCGCTTCCTCCCTTCCTCCCTTCCTTCCTTCATCCCTTCCTTCTTCCCTACCGTCCTTCTTCCCTACCTTCCTGCCTTCCTCCCCCCCCCAAAAAAAAAAAAATGTCATAAAATAGAATAACTTCCAAAAAATAAAATTTAAAATTCTGGGCCAGGTGCAGTGGCTCATGCCTATTAATACCTGTGCTTTGGGAAGCCAAGGTGGGAGGATCATATGAGGCTATGAGCTCAAGACCAGCCTGGGCAATATAGTGAGACCTTGTCTCTACAAAAAATTAAAATCAGTCAAGCTATCTAGGAGGCTGATGTGGGAAGATCCCCCCAGAGTTGAAAATTGTGGTGAGTTATGATTGTGCCATTGCACTCCAGCCTGAGCAACAAAGTGAGACCCTGTCTCTAAAGAAAACATAAATAAATAAATAAACTAACAAACAAATAAATGAAAATTCTGGGCTATAATATGCCATTTTGTTTTCCTGAGTGGCTTAAACTCCCCAAAGTTAATAATGCTGTATTTTTCTAAGAAATCTATTAAATAAGTGATGATCAAGGTAATAATGCTGTATTTTTCTTTTTTTTTTTTTTTTTGAGACGGAGTTTCGCTCTTGTTACCCAGGCTGGAGTGCAATGGCGCAATCTCGGCTCACCACAACCTCCGCCTCCTGGGTTTAGGCAATTTCTCCTGCCTCAGCCTCCTGAGTAGCTGGGATTACAGGCATGCACCACCATGCCCAGCTACTTTTTTGTATTTTTTTTTTTTTTTTTTTTAGTAGAGATGGGGTTTCACCATGTTGACCAGGATGGTCTCGATCTCTTGACCTCGTGATCCACCCGCCTCGGCCTCCCAAAGTGCTGGGATTACAGGCGTAAGCCACCGCGCCCGGCCCATAATGCTGTATTTTTCTAAGAAATCTATTAAATAAGTGATGATCTTTCTGCATCATCCAAAAATTTGTAAAACACTGATATGGCAAATGCCAATTTTTCTTATTCTTATTTGAAAATATTACTTGAAATTTAATTTCATATATATAAAGTGCATTCTATGAACTCAGCTACTTCACAACATAATTGTCATGATCTAAAACAATGGCATTAACTTTTTTTTTTTACCCATGAACAATTATCACATGCTCAAAAAGCTAAACAAACATCAGATTGAAGTGAAATATTTACGTCAACCTAGAATACTATGTACGGCAGGATTTGCCAGCCATACTGATCTTGGTCTTCTTTACCTACTTCAGTGGAACTAAATAATCCAGTATTTATTTTTTCCTGGTCTACCTTAAATTCATGTGTCCCTTTACATTCCTAATCAATAAATTTGGGACATTTTAAAGACTATCCAAATGTATTCTACAGTAAATATAAAACTATACACATACACAGACCATAATATATAATTTGTATACATACATATACAATATTTATTTTTATATTTATACACACACATACATCGATCTGATCTTAATAATAGCCTAAACTCTCATGCCACAATCTTTAGTGTATGTAAAGCCTGGTACAGTCGAGCCTCCATATCCCCGGGTTACGTGTTCAAGGATTCAAACCACTGCAAATTAAAAATATTCATATAAAATCCCCCAAAACAAAAAACAAAACCCATAAATGGTTGCATATGCAGTGAAGATGTACAGACTTTTTTTTTCTTGTCATAAAACAACTATTTACATAGCATTTACATTGCATCAAGTATTATAAGTAACCTAGAAATGACTTAAAGCATAGGAGGGGATGTGCATAGGTTACACCATATTATGGGACTTGAGCATCTGAGGATGCCGGCATCCAAGGGAGGTCCTGGAACCAGTCCCTTAATAAGACATGGTAAACTTTCAGATGTGATGTGCTGAGGTTCCGATCTCTGTTCCTCAGATAACT